CTATTTACCACAAAAACAAAACTGACCTATGCCACCCTTTATATCTGCTTCAAAATAAATTTATTAGTTGCTTTACAAAGCAATATTTATATTAACAGTCCATCATAAAGCTGACTAGTGCACTCAACGCCTCAATATTTAGTTAGTGGCAATAATACTAGAGCTGTGCTCGACAGTCGACGCGCAGACAATGCGTGGCGCGACCGCAGGGGCGCAAACGCGAGGGTCGTATTGTTTGCAAAATATTTTGAAAGCGTCATTTTATACGCCGTATTAGAGCTGCGTTTGATAGCCGGGGTTGTCTTCGTTGGATCATATCATCATTACCGCTTTGTGAACACCCTAGGTAACCCTTCGATTTGGTAATGAAGTTTCTTAAACGTTGAACAAATAAACACATTTTCGCAATGACTCGAAAATAGCTATATGTTCACTATCATATGATAGTAACAAAAAGTGTTTAGTAGCAGTAGAGCTCCTCGTGAAAAAGTTCGTCCAGGGAAGTACTGCGACCTTACTTAGTGCTGGTAAATTACAGGCACATGAGACGTGTCAACTTATGTCTCAGAGTGACGGGTGCAGAGGTAGCGCCCCTCAAATCTTTGTGAGCTCCGAGCGGCACTGCAACTGTTACGAACAGGCGTGTCGCTTAGCACTAGGCGTACAACTTGTTCGTCCCGCCATTTGGTATAATAAGAATAAAACGTGAACTATACAAAAATTCAAATAAGGCAGTAGGTAAAAAATCAAGCTTAACCGCCTTAATTGCAAGTTACTAAAAGGTGTTGAGTGTTTACAAAGGCTTAAGAGGGAATTAAGTAATCGCGCGCCGTGGGTGGAGTGAGCCGGCGGCGGCAGCGGGCGGCGTGAACAGCGGCGAGCACGGGCCTCATCGTTGCCCCGGGCACTCGACGGTTGTTTCATTAAGTGTCGAATTTTATGCAAGTAACAGAAGGTACACACACCACAATGATAAAATAAATAAATGAACGAAAATCTATCTCAATATTTTTAGTAACAGTAAGGTTCCTTGTGAAAGAGTTCGTCCAGAGAAGTACTGCTACCTTACGTATTTCTGCCGCCAAGCAGTAATGTGACCATTTGTTTGAAGGGTAAGTAAGGGTGTTGGTGAAATTACAGGCAGATGGGACTTGTCGCCTAAGTCTCAGGGTAACAGGTGCGGTAGCAGTACACGTGAGACCTTTGCGATTTAAAGCTGTGAGTGGTACTGTAACTGTGAACAGGCGTATCAAATACCACCAGGCGCATGAGTAGTTCGTCCGGTCACATCACTTGGTCATAAAAAAAAACAAATGGGACCTGTCACAGTTACAGCAATAGAACTAATACGCACGAAGAATGTGTTAGGTATTCGTTAAAAAATATTTGACCTACCGCCTCCCAAGCAGAGGCCGTGGGTTCGAATCCAGGCTTGCACCTCTGAGTTTTTCCGAATTTATCTGCGAAATTTTATTTGAAATCGACCACGAGCTTTTCGGTGAAGGAAAACACCTTGATGAAATCTGCACGTCGAAGAAGGTTCACAACCCTCGGAAAATGTGTCAAGTCTCCAGCTCGAATTGGGTCAGCGTGGCAGACTGTGGCCGAAAACCCTCGCCTGAGAGGTGACCCGTGTCCAGTAGCGAGGCGTATGGGTAGATTGATGATGAAACATATTACACGCATCAATTTCTTAAGTTTTCATCACAAATGGTGAAAACAAAATAGTAAAAGTAAAAGAAATTGTTTCATTTTCAAAATGAACTATTTTTTTAGTACTGAATCGCATATGTTTTTTTCAAACAAACCTTACAGGTTCCATGATCACAGCTGACAACTAATTAGACGAAATAAAAACAACTTTCATAATAAAATATATGAAATTAATGAAGTTGGTTACAGTAAAAATTTTAATTTATTGTCGAAATGCGTATAAAAAAAAAGAGTAAAATATTCTTTAATAAATTATTTAAGAATAAAATGAGTAATTGAAATCGATTCCGCTACTGATCTTTAAACAAAAAGTATCATTTTACTTGTGGAGCGTGGCTGTAATAAAAATATCAGTTTCCGACGGACGACGGGGAACGCCAGTACGGCGGCGCCGGCAGTCCTACATGGGGCAACAACCAGTATAATCGAAGTTTCTTTCTTTACATTCCTAATCCAACTGCATTACTCTTTTAACTAATCAATATACAATCGGTTGATTAAATATTAGCAATAAAAACTGTTAAGTTAATATTTCAAATTATTATATATTCGAATTTAAAAAAAGCAACAATGAATCCAAGAGCGAGTTGTATATAAAAGTTTTTGGGCAACAATCATAATTTCAATATTTACACTCTACTAATTATAGCTAATAATGAAATTGAGCTCCTAGTCAACCATTTTTTCAGGAAGCTTTCGAAGTAAATTTATAACCACCCATAAAACAATTCTCCAAACTTCCCCACAAAAAGGTTGCTCTATTCAAAATCCGTATGAGATAATAGCGTACGGGGGCACAGGACAAAAGTCCCAACGCAACACCGAACAGTGACAGTCGAAAAAAAAATAAAATAAAACCATCTGGCCACACTCCCGACGCCAACCGATGCTATACAAATTCTTGGACTCTTCCCTTAAAAATCGATATTTAAACTTAAGTACCAATACTTTATACTGGTAACAATGCGCCTAGCGAGCGAGGGAGACGCACAAGGAACCCAGTCGATGGAACTGGACGTTTTAATTTATGGCTGATTTTTTCTATATAACATTACACAGTTCAGATGAATCTTTCGACTTTTGTAATGAATTGAAAAATGGAGCTCTGAGTTGAACGGTTTTTGTCCTTACCGAGAAACGGACTTCACAAGTCGACGTGGACATTTATAGGCTGGCCGTTAGCTCCGTTGTTTGTGCTCAGGATCGTGTTACAAGGATCTTCTTTGACAGAAGTTTGTTGTGATGTCATTGTGTCAGTGCGGTTATTGTCGAGGCGTGCAAGGATATATCGCATCCGTCAGTCACGGCAGGCGGCATCGACCGCGGGAGGCGGTTCATTATGAATTAATGAGAATTGAAATGTTTCGGCAGATCAACACTACTTCGCTTGAATAGCTGCGACGTCTCACTACACCGTTGCCGGACGCAAGGAACGTTTATATCTTTGACTTACTTACAGTCGTGACGAATCATTCTAAGTTTGAACCCGTTGCAAGTACATAGGGTGCACTATAAGTTTCCGGAACTGGCCACTTACATAAACAATATTTAAACAGTAATTATAACATTTGAAAATGGAACTCTTTGGTTGTAGAATACAGTTTGTTTCAGACTGTCACTTGTTTTTACATTGTGGCGTCATTTTAGAAATTGGTTGTCTACATCACCATGGATTTAACTCGTGAAAATTTTCGTAGTATGATTGTCTACTACTCAGCGTAGCTTCGCACGGCTTCAAACTGCTTTTGCCGATGAAGCACCATGCAAGACTTTTAATATATTTATAGCTGGATTGCAGAATTCAAATGCGGTCTTGTGAATTTCAGTGACGAATTTCGTGATTGTCGCCCGTCCACTGATGTGAACAACAAAAACTTCGATACTGTGCGCCGTATGATCAAAACAGACAGGCATGTGACATACGATGAGAGTCGGGCATCCTTAGGCATAGGCGTGAGTCAAATACAATCAATACTACACAAACATTTGGAAGTCAATGTTTGGGTGTGAAAAAGCTGTGCACTCCGTGGATCCCACGCAATTTGACTTGTGGCTCAAAAAACGGATCGCGTCACTTGGTGCAATGCCATGCTTATCATCTGATATTGAACTTTGAATAATTTGAACCCCTTCGTTGAATCTCAACGAAGGGGTTCAAATTTGGTGTGGGACATAGTAACAGGTGACGAAACATGGATTTATAGTTACGATCCCAAAACAAAGCAGCAATCGAGTTTATGGGTCTTTCAAGATGAGCTGAAACCAACCAAAGTGGCGCGCGTGCAGAGTGCCTCTAAGCGGATGATTGCCTCTTTTTTTAATAAAACTGGACACGTGGCTACTGTTGTTTTGGAGAATTGTTGTATCGTGAATAGTGATTGGTACACGACCATTTGTTTACCGGAAGTTATTGACAAACTCCGTAAAAATAACCGCAAACGCCGTCTCATCTTGCACCTCGATAATGCCAGTTCTCACAGGGCCTGACAGACAAATGATTTTTTGAAGTTGAACAACGTTGAACTTATGAGCCATTCCGCGTACAGTCCCGACCTGGCACCTTGTGACTTTTATTTATTTCCAAAAATTAAGAACCAGAAACGCAGTCAACGATTTTCATCACCTAAGGAGGCAGTCGAAGAGTATAAAAAATATGTTTCAGAGATTGTCACGGAGGAGTGGCATAAATGTTTTCAAAATTGGTTCATTCCTATGAAAAAGTGCATTAACGCTAACGGAGAATATTTTGAGAAACAATAAATTCATTAATTAAATTTTTATTGAATTGATATTCAATTATTTTTTTGTGAAATGACTCCACTAGTTTGTTATAATTATTAATACAAAGATCGAACACTCAGAAAAAACACTCAGAAAAAATTCCTTCGATCCGGTCGGATTCGAAGCGACGTCTTCTTGCATACCGTGTCAGACGCTATACCAACTAAGCCACGGAACGAACCAACGAACCTCACGAATTTTTCTATGTGCTTGCGTCGTGTCTTTGTACTTGGTCTTTCAACGACTTTTTAGTCGTAGCGCCATCTATGAGAAATATTTAACAGATTTATCACCCAGTTAGTACCTTTACAGCTACAATTGCAATAAATTCATTTCTGACCATTTATAGTCTTTTTTTCTGATTTATTCCGGAAACTTATAGTGCGCCCCACGTATATACTAGGTACTGTATGTACCAAGGGGATATTGCTTTTATTTACTTAAAATAATGAATAGCAATTGCATGTAATTTTGCATAAAACTATAGAAAAAATAATGATACTCACCTGTATGTGTCCTTTTGTGAATCTTTAGGTTTTCCGATCTGGCGAATACTTTCCCGCAGCCGGGGAACGGACAAGGAAATGGTTTTTCCCCTGTGTGCACTCGAATGTGATTCACCAACTTGTATTTAGCTTTAAAGGGCCGTCCGTTTCGTGAGCAGCCCTGCCAAAAACACGCGTGTGTTGTGCACTCGGGCCCGCCGACGTGTTCCACTGTGAGGTGCGTGACGATTTCGTGCATACTCGAGAACAGTTTGTTGCACAACTTTTTTGGCGGCGGTTGATCGGGGTCCAGCCACTGACAGCGCATGTCACGGCGAGGCGGCGCGCGCACGTAGCGCAAGAAGGCATGCGGCGCATGAGGATGCGCGTGGGGCACCAAAGGTGGCGCGCCGCCCTGGTAGTGCACGTCGCCGCGCCACTCCCAGCTTTGATCCAATGGCTGCTGCGGGAACAGTTCGCCGCAGCCACCGTAGTCACGCAAGTAGCCTCCAGGCTGGTACGAGTGTAGCGGATAGGGCTGGTAATGCGGCGCGTGGTGCGGAGGCGCGTGTGGCGCAGCAGCAGCGCGATGCTGCGGGCCCATGCCGCATCCCGGCTGTGGCGACATCTTCAGCCCGTACGAGGCTAGATGTGCCTGATTCGACTCGAGAAAAACATTCATGGCGGGGGCGGCCGACGCCGGCGCATAGCCCCATTCGCCCGCCACCATCCACGCGGCGGGAGCGCCCCGCTCTTGCTTTTGCCGACAGCGTCGTCACCGACGCTTCCGTGTTCCAATACTGCTCTGTTGAGCTTACAGCAATCCTATTGGACCATCCAGGACCGCGAAACCTGTAAAACGTAAAAAATTATAAAATATCAAATAAAGTCAGGATAATAAAAAGTAAACTAAAAACTCTCGTAGCCATTTGAGATCGAGACAAATTCAAAATCATTTCTCAAAAATTTTAAATAATAATACGCATTCGAGCACCCATAACCGGCGACACGCATTTATTTACAGTGAAAAAAAAGTGAGGCAGGTACTTTTGGACATTAAATTAACCTGTGGGTAAATTTATAGGACATTTTTATACGCCTGAGACAAAAATTTTGATTGTGCCTGTGTATATTTAATTTTAGTTTATTTGTTAGGCTGGCTCCAATCTCTTTTATGGCAGAGGTTTAGCGTCGATACTTTATTAAAATAGATTTTATGAATGATAAAACCGGTTTCACGGACTCTCAAATGCACCCAGGATTATTTTATTACCACTTCTTAATAAAATTATGTAGGTACTACACTACTATAGGAATAGTAAAAGCAAAAACAATCCTGATTTAACGACCATGCACGAAATTGTAGTGCCCCTAAAAGTAACCTAAGGATTTTAATGCCTCTTTAAACGAAACATTTCAGAGTCTGTTTAAATGTGAAAACAAACATTGAAATAAGTATTTCTGTAACTAAAAAAAATTCATTATAGTTTGATGTCACACCCGAAAACATTTTCAAAATGTGTCCATCAGGGCAAATGTATATTTTTTGCTAATGCATATAATCGCATTATTTCGACGTAATCTTGTTTGTATATTGTTTAGAACACTTCACCGTAGTATATAGAATACAAGAGTTGTTCTCTACCTGGGCCCGTTAAACAATGTCGTTCCTTTTAGATTTTCATCTAATCTGTGCATTATCTGCGGGCTCCCCGCCGCGTGGCCGCTTCATCACAAAGCAACGGGTTGACAGATCTCCACAGACAGACATGGAGCGATAGGATTAATAAAAATTCGACATTTTCTGACATTTAAATCAATTTCACGTGTATTCTGGGCTTGAACCATAGTAACACCTCGCATCGCAACAGCAAAGTTAAATTTGTTGAAATTTACAGATGTTACGTTGAATTTTTTCTGCAGTTTTACGGAATTAGTCTTTAATCTCATTAATATCTTTCGAGGTCTTCATAAGATGAAGGAATTTATCGTGTACTACTTAAGTTATGTATATGTATATGTTGCGTTTATGCAAGCTTGTTTATTCTGTAAATTGTGTAAGTAGTTCTATATTGAATTCAAGGCTTGGGGTTTGCAATTTTTTTTTAACTATTGTGGTTTTTATTTGACAAGCAATCCCGATATGCGTTTCTTTTGCTTTGTACTTTATGTTTTGTCTTGTTTCTTGCATATTTTAGATTTTAAATTTTAATTGTCGTTTTTTTGTGGGGTTCTTAACCAATAACCAAATATAACAAAATATCAGCGAGGATTATGTATTCCCTGTTCTCTGTAGTTGAGGATAAGACCTATTCAACGAGTTTGTTTTTTATTAATTTATATATTCGTTTCTTTTTTAATATATTTCATGTTAAATAAGGTATTTATTTATTGCATATCATATCGTCGCCTACTTTCTCAAACTCGTACTTATAAAGAGTGATTATTCAGGAGATGGCACAACTTTTTATTTATTTTAAATTTCTTATCAAGGGGTTAATTTAGATGCATTACTTTAAGAATAAATATAAGTAAAAGCCAGTGTAAAATCATCCAGCAAAATTTGTATGTACAATTCATTGTTTGCATTTAAGTAACTTTGTGCTTTAAGATACGCGTTTGAAAAAGTAAGGCGACAATATTGCACATTTGTAATGAAAGAAAAAGGGCATACTTTGCTATCTATAGTACAATATGACGCCCCGTAAGGTCATGGCAATATAAGTGGAGAGGGTTTCACGCTGTTATATTGTAAGCACCTAGATTTTATTTATTTACACATTAAAAAGTAGCAATTGTATCAACTAAGAAAAAACAATAGATATTTTAAATTTAAATAGTAGGTGGTAGACATAATATGGTGTATAGTTAGCGTGCGCGCGCGTGTGTGTGTGTGTGTGTGTGTTAGTGTGTGTGTGTGTGTGTGTGTGTGTGTGTGTGTGTGTGTGTGTGTGTGTGTGTGTGTGTGTGCATGTGCGTATGTTTATGTATACATTTAATTTAATTATTTACATTTTAAATTTATATATATAAAAAATATTATGTACGTTTTTCAAAATCTTCACATTCTATTTATATTTTATTATATTTACACGAGTAATAATTTGTAAACAACTAAAATTCATTGCCCGTAAGTGTTTATTACGTATAAACTATTTCTAAGACAGTATTAAGCAAGTTATATTTATATTTAATTATTTTGTAAAAAAATGTGTGTGAAAGTGACAATGTACTACAATGTAAAGTGTAGGTACTAATTTGGATAAGGGCGTTGAAATGTTCAATGCATTAATTTTTGAACAAAATATTTGTAATATAAAAGATAAACAACTGAAATGAATCGGCTCGTCATAAAAGTGCATCTATTTTATTGTTGAAAGAGACGTGAAATAGAATAAATTCAAGTAAATTACATCTTAACATTGTGCTATTATGTTCTCTTTGTTAGTTAATTTGTAGTAATTAGTTCTTAATTGAGGCTATCAGCGCAAAAGTGGTGTAACCCACATTTAATTTTTTTTTCTACAAATTTACTTTAAATGATACTTAAGTACGTCATTATTTCATATTTGGATGATATTTTCATACAATAAATATTTCATATGATAAATATAGGTTACAGGTTTCAGCGCTGACAGCCTCTATTGTGGAATTGAATTTTGATTTATCCTTAGTTAAACTCCGTCTAGACACTTAAAGGGAAATCCTCCTAGGATACTTCTCCGCCGCGAGGGCTTCGGAGAGGTTATGCCTGACTTCTACCGGCTAAAAAACCCTATGGTAGATACTTAAGTTAATGCTGAACTTGTAAAATTCTATTAGTAACATAAATATAAAACAAAAAGTTATTATTACAAACTATTCAACAAAACATCATTTCTTGGTCATCTTATCTATTATAATTATCAATAAATTGCTGGCATTATAGCGCACTGCTATACAATAGTGTTGTAACTCAAAATATGTGAAACTCCAGATTATGCTATTGCTGAACGTAAAATTTGATTCTCTACACTTCAATAAAGCAGTGGTTAGAATATTGTAAGAAACAATTAAAAGATATCAACTTAACTCAAAATGAGACAATTTTTTTTGAGCTAATTCTGGACAAAACAGTCCTATTTTTCAAAATATATTTGGCGAGTAGACACTTGTTTAGATATCTGTAATAAACTTTAACCTATACATTAATTTTATTAATCTTTCACGGTGTGAAATTCGTTTTTCATCGATTTTGAAACAAATACCTACACTTTTTGAGTTAATACAGTATTGTATTAACAGTGCGATAGGTTAATTCTAAGAGGAATATATAAATAACTATTAATTCATGGAAGACTGTTTGCGTGAAAAGTAAAAAGTAATAATTTGATGGAAGTAACTTTCTACAATCAAAACCTGTTTCACACGTACTTACCTACGTAATGTAACTAGGTACTTAAATTTAAAATAAATACTAATCTATTTACCGTTATCGTCAACTTACTGCAAATATTACCTGCTGCTGTTCACGGGTCTCATCTGAGAAGACAGTTTAGACCACAATCCAACACGCAGGTTGAGGATTGATTTCATCACAATATTTTTATATTAAATAATAAGAATATGAAATTATATAATCATAAGTCATGTCATGATAAGTCATTGCATGATTTTCTATCCTTTAATCAAGTAATTAAATTTTATTTCTTTTAATAATAAAAACCGTTTTGAAATGTTGAAAAGAGATCTTAAGGTTTTAGCGATTGCTACACATAGGAATTTAAACTATTTGTTCATAATTTTTAAGTTTATTATTGAACGCCGTGATGTTTGACCACCATGATACTCAATTCTTTTTGTGAAATTACTCCACTACTTTGTTATAATTTATTAATATAAAGATCGAACACACACAACACAAAGCACTTAGAAAAAATATCTACGATCCGGCTGATTTAGAACCAACGTGTTCCAGCAAATCGTGCCAAATGCTATGCCATTAAGCCACGGAAGGAACTAGCGGACCTTACGAATCTTTCTACGTGCTTGTTGCTGTCTATGTTTTTGGTTTTTAACCATATCTCAATGGAAAAAATAAACAAAGTTTCAGTCTTTTTCATTTCTTAAAATCTATAACCAGTGATATTATTCAGTGGATATGTAGAAAAATCAATTTTTTTAACCGATTTCAAAAAAAAGGAGGAGGTTCTCAATTAGACTGTAGTTTATTTGTATTGTAAATCGATTTTGATGATTTTATTGGAAAGAGGGTACCTACCTCAGAAGTGGTCCCATTTCAATTTGAAGAAAATATTGTACATTTAAGGTTGGCAAACTAGGGGATGAATTACTTTTGAGGTCAGTTTTACAGTACTATGTATTGATTAATTGACAAGTTTCATACTCTTGGTGTAATAAGGCCAGATCTGTAAAACGATAATTATTCAGTGGAGAGGTTTAAAAATTTTATGAACGAAATTAGTCGTTAACTTTTTATGTTATTTTCAATATGAATATATTATCAAATATGAATACGAGAGATAAAATTTCATATATATATAATTTGTTTTATTTTAATGACTTTCATGTAATAAATGCGCTTTTGAAATTCACATGTCACTTTATTAAGGGTCCGATTATCACCTCCACATGACTTTGTAAAATTGAACGTTCTGTTTTTTTTACACAATTCTTCAATCCACTAAAAATACTTTACATATAGTAATTTTATTTATACATGTAATTTTCAGTAAATGGGTGGATTACTTAATAAAATAAAATGCAACTGAAGTCTGTTGAGTAAATAATTATGACTTCTTCGTACGGTACACCTTTTTGTGCTCTCTATATTTTGATTGTGTATATACCTAGATATCTCTTTTTATTTCTCTCCCGATTTTTCTACAAAATTTGTCCTTGTCACAGATTATGTGGTCTGTAGTCCTTGTCCTTCTGCTCTAAAACATCTCGAAAAGAATAAAACTTTGGACTCACATCGGTGTTTTATAAAAAGGGCTCCATTTCAAAAAAAAATTCATGGGAGCATGTTTTGGTTTTTCAGGACTATTTTAAATTATTTACAATCTGTTTTACATTCAATTTTAAACCTTAAACTGCATTTTAAAACAGCGCCCTTTCTACAAAACTGTTTCGTCTTTATTTCGTAGGTAAATAAATTACAATTGGAAACGTCACATTGATTAAAATCTACCACTCATTCGTAAGGTATATTATCCTGAGAAGAGCGTATAACTAACTCTAGGGGTGGCTCTTTGTAAATAAATATTTGTACACATTTATCATTTCAAATATTTATTTTAAAGATCGAATTGACTGCAAGATCTAAACGTGTCACTACCGTGGATTTTTGTCATTCCAATACGTAGAAGCTGTATAACAAATACACCTTTAGTACAAAAGTTTTGTTTCACTATAGTTTTAAATCTCGTACATGGCAATTTTGTAATACGTCGTGAGAATTTTGTAACTAGTAATAATCATTCAGTGAATAACGATGAAAATGTTAAAATTTATATTTAATTTGATAGTTTTTAATGTCTCAAGTAAAATTGTTTCCATAGTCTATTTTATTTCTATGTGAAAAAAAATAGGTATATAGGTAGATATTAACGATAGTTCTAGGCCAAAATTAAAGCTTTCAGTATTGTTCTGAAACTAATCATATTTACATTGGGATTTTTAATTTATAAGTACTAATACTCAACATGTACTTAATAACAATGTCAACTCACATGATAGGAATATGCCCAGTTAATTATACATATATGTATTAAATATTATGTAGATGACATGTTGAATAAACTGATACAAAGTATTATAAAATAAATTTTAAAAACGATTTCTTTTCAAACACACTGAGCAATATATCCTCATTAATCTTAACGCTTAAGTAAATAGAATAACTTTAAAAGTTTTGCTGTGCCTTTACAGGATCCATAATAATCTTAATTTAAATTACCTACCACTGTGTATACAACATAATGTTATGTTATAAACTATTGAGTAATTTATATATCAAATATTTTAGATACTCATACATACGAAATTTAAAGCGTAATTTATTACACCTTTTATATTAAAAAACTGACCTCAAAAGTTCGTGGAAATACATCTATTTGCAAGTTTCATTGAAATTGGATACCGGAAAGTGCGCGAAACCGGATCCATCCCTTAGTTTGCTACCCTTAGAGGTGGAATATTTTCTTCAAATTTAAATGGAACCAATACTGAAGTGTTCTCTTTCCAATAAAAAAGTATCATCAAAATCGGTTCACAAATGCCGAAGTACACATAACATACATTTTTTGTGCATAAAGTATTACAGAGTTAAATTGTCTGATAGAGATATTTTTGTTTGTATGCTATACGGGCCTTACTTAAGCTTTATATTTAAATCATTCTTTCTATATATAATTTGAACTAGACTCATTCTATGGCGATGTTATTTAAGTGGCAAATCGAAATTTAGAAATCGACGTCCAAGAAAGCTTTTCATAACTGAAGTTAAATGTTATATGGTCAAATTTACAGCTGCCTAATTAGAATGATTGAAATGAAAAAAAAGTCTACTATCAAATCTATTACCTAAGTTTAAATGATAAGGGTTGTGTAAATAACATTTTATTAATAGATAGGGAAAAATATCTAATTTTTAAACTGTACACTGTCTTGTTGTACCCTATCTGATTCTTCCGTACAATATTGTTTAGGGTAAGTGAGGTTCCTAAATTATCCATTAATTTCGTAATAGCATTATTGAGACAATAAAAATAAAATTATTAACAAAACTCACCTGGCATTTATACAAATCCAGACTATACCATCAGGATTGTTGAGGAATCACTATATGCATAGTTTTATTAACGACACCAGTAAAAAACACTTCACTCAACGTGTACCTAAAATAAATTTCAGTATCCTCATGAAACTAATGGAATTATTATCACAGGAGTTGGCGTATTGTTATAACGGTATAGTTTTAGTTTCACAGCCGGACTTTTCGACTCGACGTCGTATAGCTGGCGACATCAGCTTCTTGGACAAATTGTCTCGCAACGATTTTTTCTGGCGCCGATGAAAGGGTTCGCGACGTGGGTCCACCGGCTCCGCTGAGGTTCTCAGCATGACTGTGGGCTCCCGCGACGCCGCCCCTCGACGCGCCGGCAGCAGCATGCCGCTACTCAGAAAATCAAAACGAGTCGCGCCCGAACCTCAAGGCGCGAACGCAGCCCTGCGCGACGAGAAGGGCGGGACGCCATCCACTTTTTCACCCAATAGTGCCCACTTCTGAACGCAACTGCATCGTCTAACCGTCTCTTTCTAACTTACTCTTTTCGGACGACGATTAACAAAGAAGTAAGATAAAGCTCACGGGTAGTGTAAAGAAGAAATTTTCTTTGTGTTGGTGTCGTAATGTGTTCGCTTTATCAGATTTACTTTGAAAGCTGGCTGTTAGTTTGGAGGGCGCCATGTCGCGTTTTCCGCTCGCACTCAGCAGCAGTGCCGTAGGTGGGAGTAAGAGGGGCGAGGTCGGGAAATGTTTCGGCTAATGTATTTTCCTGTGGGAAAGAAAACACATGTCGTCGCTTTTAATTTAATACGCGTCACGCTGCGTTGCTGTGTCGCGCTTACATGCGGAGCCGATATTTCGCTAGCGATTTTCTATCACTTAGCTAGTATAATATATTAGTTACATTAACTCATTGTAATATTTATGTTTGATGCTATCGCGTCTAACATAATGTATTACTGATACTGACCTTTTAAAATATATATATTTACACTTATTTAAATTAATCTAGTAGGTACTTAATTTATGAGCTAAGCACTCTTTGCATTAATTTTACAACCATTATATAATTTAAAAATAAATACCTATTATTTACGATTTGACTATACCTAGTTTCTAAAATCTTATTAGCTTCTGTTAGTTGGAATCCTTACCTACGCCTTGTACTGCGTTGATAATTATAGCCTATGTGATTTCAAATAAAAACTAGTGATGACAGGCAACATTATGCTGGCGTTGGATACTCTACACACACATGCACTCACACGCACATTTTAAAAATAACTCTATGCCACATACTATAAAGCATTTTTACAATAACATACCTAAATAAAATAGAACGATATTTGGAACTTCGTATATCACTTTTAGAGTTTTAGTTTTTGTAAAATTACTTTTTATTTCCATGAATTTGTATACCACACATTATTGTGTTCTTCTAGAAGTTCCTACATGTTTAATGTACTTTTATTTGCAATACGTATTATGCAAAGTATATGCAAAAGGTGTACGACACTGACTATTACATTCAAAAATATAAAATTTTGAAATGATCTTGAAAATATCATAATTAATTGGTGGTAAATTAAAAAAAAATATTTAAGTTATAGTAGAGAGGTTTTTGAATTTTATTGAATACTTCATTTAGAAGAAAATTACTTCACATAAAGAGATTACTTTCTTTAAACTATGCACTTACATTGCCCCATAAACGGTCATAAAAATTTAAAGTGCTAATCAAAATTCTTTCTTTCCACTTTCTGACGACGTGCATACTGTACGTAATAAAATGATACTATAAGTTGAATCCAAACTAATATTATGAATGCGAAAGTAACTCTGTCTGTTACATTTTCACGCTTAAACCGCTGAACTATTAATGAATTTTGGTATGAGATAGATGGTACCTAGGAGAAGTATGTAGGCTACTTTTTGTCACAAAAATAAATTTCAAGAATGGTTATCTATGAATCCCAAGTGTAGCAGTAGCAGTCGCCACGTCTAAACGCTCTTAAGGGGAAATAGGGGATAAAAGTTTGTAAGGAGAACCAATAAAACTATGAAAACTAATATAGTACAGTAGGATACTCGAAGTACTTATTCTACGCAGACGACGTCGCAGGCACCAGCTAATATTTTATACAGTCGAATAAAATAGAGTGAAAAATAAAAATAAAGCTATTCCTCTCCCTCATTACAGAATCTATTGCAGTTTTAATACCGACGTTTTACGAGCTCTCCCACGGGCAATTAACATTGTAAACGCACCTTAACATCTCTGGGATGGGTTAATGCGGTAATTAATTTCAGATTCAGATTAACACTGGATGTTAGTTTTTTAATTGTTTATTGTAAAGAGTAGTTAACAGTCTGTACACGAGTTACATTCATTTAAGTTATTAATATTTACATTCACTCTCCAATTAAAGTCTCCAAAAGCCAGTCGACGTTATACAAAAAAAAAGTTTTTTTAATATCAAGTGACGGGAAGAAGTGTTAAGCAACACACCTGTCCATAACAGTTGCAGTTTTTTTTTTTTTAATGATATTTTGCAGTTGGCCGCTGATGGCCTTTACCGGAGAAAAAGGGCGAGCTGAAGGCTCATAACCCCCAAAATAAATTTAAAGCTAAGTAGCGGGCCTGAGGGCGCCCAAGTGGGCACGGACCTCGGCTCAGGGCGCTACTGGAGACTTCCGCCAGAAGGGCGTGCTGTTGGAGAGAATCTACCAGTGTACGTGCTAAAATGAGGGCCTCTACGACCTCGCCGAGGACGGTTGGTGCGTGAGGGGCGGGACTCACTAGAAATCTGGTTGGCCTTCAAAGTGGCGAGAGTGATAGGGTCGTCAGGGTCGTTGAGGACTTCCCTTGGCTGACGGGTCCTACGTACGCGGTGAACAGTTGCAGTGTTGCTCAGAACTTTAAATAGCAAAGATCTGAGGGGCACTGAGACATAAGTTGACAAGTCCCATGCCTGTAATTTTCCAGCACCCTTTAAAAGCGGAACGCAGTAATGCTAGGTGCCAGTACTTCCTTGGACGAACTCTTTAACAAGGAGCTTTACTGCCATTAAAGTTAATTTTAATTAAGTTATATAATAAAACTTGAATGAAATTTTTATTGCAAATAACGTAATAAATTATAGAACGTACCTACCAATATAAAAACTCTCGTAAGAGTATTCTAAACTACACTAAATTATATTTTAATACAACTACTTACAAGAAATAAAAGATTTAACGATTAATTAGTGAAAAATCGCATTCCACGTGCGTATCGAAGGAGTGCCTCATGCTGACACGCCCCTCTCGCCTCGCCCTACCATTGGCCGTTGCTGAGGCTCTCAAGCGCTGGGGGCGGCGGCCGCTCCTGCGCATATTACCTACCACTCCAACATTTTATTCCATTTATATCCTGCACGAACTCGCGGAGTACCTCAATGATTAATTTAATAAATCTTACGCCAGTGCTTTTCTCACGCAATTCGTTTTTTGCCATCTTTGTTGCTCGAGGCTTGTACTTATAGATAGCATGCTACAAATGCTTTACTAGCGTTCAACTGGATTTTGTGCTTGATTTCATTTAATAAAGTTAGTTAGTTATGTTTCAGATGTTACACCTAACTAAGTATCGTTTTAATATTTTGTACTGATTATATTTCTCTCAAGCGTTTTTAAATTAAAAGTTGTGGATATAAAATTTTGCAAAGCAGCAACAATTTTCAAATTACATTAAAAAATAAATAAAAAAACATCGAATTCTTAGTTTTGCAGTTGTAACTATTTTCTCGGTTCTAAATCGCGTGTATTTGTTTTGTTTTTCCATGGTCACGCTGTAAAGAAACCGAAACGTTGGTATTGTTTGAAAAACCAAAAAGCTTATAAATAGAACTTACTAATTGTAGCTCCAGATTATTTAGCATCGTAACGCCGCGTCGTCAGTGGTGTGGTTAGTTACACATTTTGGTAGTCAAAATCTAAAAATAAATAAGGTTATTATTTAAACGGGAGTTTTAGGGAGTGATGCTAGCTACAAATTACTGCAGACAATGTCTCCGCAGGACATCGCCCTTATTAAGTGCAACCCACCAGATGGCGAGTTGAGCACCCCTGCACCCGCACAAACAAAATTAAATTAAAAAATGTTTGTAATTTGCTAGAATAACGGTTGTGATTACAACAATAACATGAATATATAATGCATATATATATTCATGTTATTGTACTATAATAATGTAATATATATGTATATATGCATGCATAATTATTTATCTAGGTATCATTTTATGAGGAAATCAACATGAAGTAATAAATAAACTTTATTTCCTGGTTATATTTCATAGTTTGTACACTAAAATTTTGTCGCCATTGGTGACAATCATAAGTGTAAAGGATATACAATCATCATCAATCCATTCATATTGTAACTTTTCATATTACTTTATTAATAGTAGTGCATTAATTCTTTATTTCTTATTCATATATATTTTATTTTATATTACGACTTTGTATAGAAGAAATGCTGTACCTAATACTCGTCCACCGTCATAAACGTCTTGCGTGATAACCACGACACAGGCGTGTACCAGTGTGGTTATCAGAGTTTATCACATAGATGTACCTTAATCTGATAATAAAAGTATTATTATTATTGTTATTTTTATATGTGCCACTGCTGGTCAGGAGTGTCCTCTCAAGCGAGATTTTAGACCAGAGTCACTGGCGCAATGCGGGTTGGGGACTTTTCTTTACTATTCACATTTTCTTTGAAAAGCCGAATAAATAGGTTGATCTACGGCCTCTTAAGCAGAGGCCGTGGGTTCGATATTGGACTTGCACCTCAGAGTTTATCGGAATTTATGTGCGAACCTGAATTTGAAATTTACCACGAGCTTTACTTTTCGGTGAAAGAAAACGTCGTGATGATGCACGTTGAAAAAGGGTTCACAGCTCTCGGAAAACGATATACATAAGATTGATTTTTATCACATGTGATAAAATTTACCATATCGAATATTACACATATATATATTACACAATCGCAATTAATAAAAAATACTTGGTAAACATGGCATCAACGCACAACGAAACTGAGGACACTAAAAATATAAAATTTTGAGTATTGTTTCAATTTGCGCTGTGTTGTAAAAGCTTACATAAAGCTTCATAATAAAAAGAGATTATATAGTGGAAAATAGGGTGGTTTGCATAAGTATTAGTCATAAATGGTTAGAGGACTTTACCATGTTAGTTAGCCGCGAACATGGGTCATGTAAAGGGCACTAAATGTTGGTTTGTATGAAAAAAAAAAC